CTCACTTTCAGAAAAATTGATCGCCGAATGGGTGTGAGTCAGTTCGACGGAGCGTTCTTTATCGAAAAAACTACCAACCCTATCAATAGAAAACCACTGTCCCGCCGAACCGGCTGATTTCAAGACGCCGAACTGGCTCAAGTGGCAACCCGCGCCTTCAACTTTCCCGGGATCACACTTCAAACTCCTGGAAATTGGCCCCTGTTTTCCAGGAATTCCCCCCCGATTTCTGGGAGTTCCCATTTTTTTCCCGGGAGTCCCCCCCCATTTTCCTGGAGTTCCCCTTCCGTTTTCCGGGAGTTCCCCCCGGGGTGAAGAAGATCCAGGTCGGGGGTGACAAGAGCCCACATCAGGGGGGAAAGGCCCCATGGGGGGGTTTCCAGTGTTCGGCTCTCTCCCCCCGTGTTTCAGCTCTTCCCCCCCGTTTCTCGGCTCTTCACCTCGTTTGTTCGGCTCTTCCCCCCCGATCCTTCCCCCTGCCTCGGGCGGGACAAGGGCCCTGACGAAGCCGCGTGGCTATTCGAAGGGCCCTTTTGGTGTGGAATTGTTAACGTTTCTCGCATGACTCGTCGTGCTTATTTTCATATCCCGCACGTCATATTGTTTTTCAATGGTTGGTGGGGCTTAGGATAAACACGTAGTGCACTTTCTACATCCTGGACACGTTTAGACTTGTTTACTAAGGGTATCTGTAGTCTGGGGAGGTACCTGTAGTCCAGGGAGGGTACCTGTAGTTCGGGGGAGGGGTACCTGTAGTTCGAAGAGGGGGTACCTGTAGTCCATGCAGGGGGTACCTGTAGTCCGGGGACCCAGAACTATTGAGGGACACCCACGAAATTAAACATGTTCAGCCACGAATAGCAAACAGTAGACACAGTTTGGATTTTAGTTACGTTTAGCCACACGTAACCACGTTCAGCCATGTTTAGCCATGGGCGCCAACAACGCGCGCGTGCTGCATGCCAAAAATTTAACCACATTAAACAGTACTTCAAACGCATATGTTCTCTAATCCGAACATGCGCGAATGACCAGGTCAAAGCTTTACGCAATGACGAGGGACGAGGGTCACCATCTGCAACTGTCCATAAGCAAAATTGTACCTTGCGCCCAGCGCGCCTTGGCTCCCAGCAAGATCCTTGTTTCGCATATCCCCCAGTCCGTCCAGGGACGATGCGCAAGGGATATAGCTTGATCAGGGAAGCATAGCTTCGTGCAGTGTAACAAAGAGCGGGGCGGCCGTCGTCGCTATCGTCGCCATCGTCGTCATCGTCGCCGCCGCCGCCGCCGCCGTCGTCGTCGTCGTCGTCGTCGTCATCGTCGTCGTCGTATTCGTCTTCTTACTATTATTATTAGTCCTTCTCCTCTTCTTCTCATATTGTTTTTTTATCATTGTGATTATCGTCGTCGTCGTGTCCTACTTCCTCCGCCATCCTCTTCCTTTTTTCCGCAATTAGCCAATTAGGCTTGCGTAAGGGGTTCTCACTTGGTTAAGAAGAATGGCGCCTCGGGGGCTGAACTACTTTCCCGTTCCCCCGAGGTTCCTTGGGTTCCCCGGGTTCCCCGCCGCCTGAGCATCATATTCTGTTGCCCGGGTCCCTGGGTTGCCCAAATTCCCCAGGTTCCCCGGATTCCTCGGGTTCCCCAACTTTCCCAAGTTTCCCGGATTCTTCGGCTTCCCCAACTTCCCCGGGTTCCAAGGTTCCCCGGGTTCCTCGGGTTCCCCGCTGGTTCTCCGATTCTCCAGATTCCCCGGGTCCGTGTTCCCCTGGTTCCCCGCCCCCGGTGCCTCGTATTTTTACTGCGCCCGGTCCAAGCAATGCCAAGCAATGCCAAGCAATGCCAAGCAATGCGAACCAATGCCAAGCAATGCCAGGCAATGCTGAGCAATGCCAAGCAATGCCAAGCAACGCCAAGCAATGCCAAGCAATGTCAAGCACTGCGAAGCAATGCCAAGCAACGCCAAGCAATGCCAAGCACTGCACCCATGCAATGGGAGGCTTTCCCCTAATTGGGGTCGCGCCGTATTCATTTGCTCCTTCAACTCCCTCCTCCTCCGTTTCTTCATCCTGGCGCGATGCAAGTGGATTGTCTTGTCTTATCTTGTGGACGAACCTCCTTGATCGTGGTGCGGGCAGCGATGTTTCGTGTTTCCCCCGTCTGGGTCGCCCTTTAACTTGGTGGGCATTTAGCCACGTGTAGCCACGAAGTAATTCGCCACAGCACGACATCGGTTTTAGCTACAACCATGTGTAGACACGAGTTTTTTAGATACGGCACTTGTCTTAGACACGGCCGAATTTTCATACATGTTTAGCCACTCGCAAGCCACGCCCGAACGAGAACCACGCGCGGCTATTCCAACCTATGACTTTAGTCACTTGTGCATCGCGCAGAGGCGTCAACAGAGTCCTGACGATTCGCGGCTCAAAAAAATAGCCGAGGGAGATCGGGGGGGAAAGGGGCCGGGATCGGTGGGAAAGGGCCCGGATCGGGGGGAAAAAGGCCCCCAAGGGAGGAGACGCACATCTTCCGCTTTTCTCCCTCTTTTCTCCAGTTTCCAATTCTTCCCATCCGTTTTTCGGGTCTTCACCTTAGCGATCCCTCCCCCCCCGTCTCGGGAAAGGGGCGGGGATCGGTGAAAAGGGCCGGATCGCAGGGAGAAGGGCCCCCGAGGGGGGGGGGAAACCAGTTTTCGGCTCTTCTCACTCGTTTTCGGTTCTTCCCCCTCAGTTTGTCTACTCTTCCCCAGAGTTTTTCGGCTGCCTCCCTCGTTTGTCGGCCCTCCCCCCCCCGATCCCCGCCCCCCGTCCCGCCCGAGACGGGGCGGGGACCGGGGGGGGGGACGAGCCGAAAAACTGAGGGAAGACGGAAAAACTGGGGGGAATCGCACTCACTAATGCTTTCTACTTCGGACCTCACCGCCGTGTCTCCCGTAAGCCGCATCCCTCCTGCTGACACCGTCACCCTCTCCGCCTCCTCCTCCAACCATGCTTCAATGTGGTACCCAATGCCTGCCGTGTGGGCAGCAGGGCAGGAGGAGGGGGAGGAAGAGGAGGGTGGAAAGAGGACGAGCAAGAGGACGAGCACGAGAAGGTTCAGGTCCGTTGCGAGGTCGTCTCGCGGGCGCGCTGCGCGGGCGCAGGGGCGTCCGTGGGGGGGAGGGACCGGGGTTGGCATCGGGGGGGGGAAACAGGGGGGGGGGATCGGGGGGGGAAGCGGGAGTGGGATCGGGGGAGGAACGGGGGGGGGGATCGGGAGGGGAAGAGCCGAAAAACAGAAAGACGGGGGGGGATGGGGGGGGGAAGAGCCAAACACTGTCCAAAGGGACCCCCCCCTACATAGCCAAGCATTTATCCGCTTTCTTGGTGTCCTCATTGGCAGCCTTGGTGCCCTGGAAAGCCTCCAAGTCATTTTGAGGCACGGAAGCGACAAAGACAAGCACATTGAAAGGGAAATACAAGATCGACGATTTGGCCGACGAAAGCCTCTCTGGGGAGCTGTATCGGGACGCGGCTAACGTGGGTGTCATACAGTCAGATGAGGGCCGCTGCGCAGTATTGGAGCAAGTTGATTGTTCGGGAGGGTGCAAGGAGCCTCGAAGGATTCTGACTATTGTGGCCGACAGGTGCCCCTCGGGAGAGCCTATCTCGGTGCTCCCCGTGCGTTTCCTCCAGCCTGGCGGGGCCTGTTGAGCACTGCCGGCGCACGTCGCTCATGCTCAGGACGGGACCTCGCCTGCGCCGGCTTCTTTTGGAGCCTTTGGGCCTTTCCGGAGCGGAGCTTTGGAGCCTGCGGGCCTTTGGAGCCTTTGGGCCTTTGGAGCCTTTGGGCCTTCTTTGGATGCCTGACGGGCTTCTTTGGAGCCTTCGGGGCTTTGGAGCCGTTGGGCCTTCTCTGGAGCCTTCTTTGGAGCCCGCGGGCATGACTCGGATGCCGGACGGCCTTCTCTGGAGCCTTTGGGGGCGCCTCGGGAGCCAGCCTGCGGCCCTCCACGGGCCTTGGGCCCCCAAAGGGGCCGCACCCGGGACCCCCCGCGGGCCGGACGCGGTTCTCCGGAGCGGCGGGCGCCACGGTCGTCTGCGTCGCCCTATCGTTGTCCTCGTCGTCGTCGCGCGCGCCGCCCTCTCCCTCTCGTCCGTCCTTCGCTCGCTCCTCCTCCACCTCCTCTTCCTCTTCCTCCTCCTCCTTCTCCCCCTGCCGATCCCCCTGCTGCCCTTATTCCTCAAGCCGACCCGAGGGCGTATCGAGGCCATTTGGGGGCTCTCTCTGGGGGCCTCCTCCCAAGGCTCTGTTGGCCTCCTGCATTGGAATCCTGTGGGCGGCGGCGTTGGCCTCTCTCGGAGGCTTTTTTCGGGCGTTGCTGAGGCCAGTTGGGACGCTTTGAGGTGCCCCCGAAGCCATCAAATCAAATCGGGACCGAAAACTTTCAAAACTGTCGGCTTTGAATTTTGAATGTCCGAGGCCATCCTTGGGACCTCTTGGAATGTCTCTTGAGGCATCTACGTAGTGAATCCTTCGGGGCGACCTGAAAACATGCGGGCTGCACAATATCATACCACACAACGTCACCCTACTGCTCTCGACAAAATTAACCTCAGAAATGTGTCATGCAATTTCCTTGTCGGCCCAGACCGCGTTCCGCTCTTCCTCAACATAGACGCGGGCGACATTGAAGGGGTGAAACAGTGCGACGTTGAAGTGGCGCGTCAACCACTTTTGAAGTTAATGTTGTCGAGGGTTCTATGCAAGGCGCGGGTGTATCATTGTTAGCCAACTCTGCAAAACGTGAATACACTGGTTTGGCAATTTCTTGGATGGCAATCCTTTGCTTCCCAGCTTGCTTCCATCGGCAATATGCTGCTTCTGCGGGCGTCCGGACGAGGGCCAAATGCCAACTGGTGCAAGGCCCCCCGAAGCAAGCGCATAGATGTTGTGTACAGTTCCCCAACTCTTTGTTGACAAGGCGACACAGGCATCACGAGAAGGATGGACGGTGGTGACAACGATGGGCGTCAACGAATGACATGTTTTTGGTGTTCTGGAAAACTGTCCTGAAACAGGATCCACTGGGGGCAAATCTAGACTGCGCTGCTATGAAACAGAATGTACGCGCTGTCGCCGGCTGCCGAAGCACGTGCAGGAATAACAATAATTGAAAGAAACTCTCGAATGCACCGTGGGTTCACCCAGCCTGGTGAAGCAAATTAATAACTGACGATGCGCAGTAAATGTAAAGGACCTTGCATTGCCCCCTGCGCGCTCTCCTGGGTTACCCTGGGGCGGCTCGGCTTCGACGACTTTTGGCTTACTGTGGCATGTTCCTTCTTGGGGCTTCTCGTGGGGTCCTTGAGGGAATCTCTAGGGCCTCTCGGGACCCTCGCGGGCGCATGCGGATCCTCCAGAGTCTCTCTTGGGCCCGTCTTGGGGCTCTATCGAGGCGGTCTTGGCCAATCTTCTGAAGGGGGGAGGGGGAGATGTTGGGATTTTGTAATGAAGCGCTGTGAAATGTCCCCGATGTCATATTTGAGAGAAGCCGTGGAAGGCGAAAAACATATAACAATCAACTTCTTGGTGTTCGACTGATCCCCCGTGTCACAGGCATCTTTGGATGGGCCGTCCTGGCGTCTACTTGGGGCGTCTTGTGTCATCCTGGGCAGTCTTCGCGATCTCGAGGCGCTCTCTTGAATCGTCGTGGAAGCGACTGGAGGCCGAACCAATCCCCCCCAAACAATGCAAACCAGTCCTGGCCCCCTGGGGCCAAATTTGGGGACCAGAGAGGGGCGGAGAAATCCCACCAGCCCTCTGCACGTGGGTGTTCCAGAGAGCTTTCTCTCCCAACCCCATTATTGGAGAGGCCTGACGGCCGTTGCCGCCGACCCTGATCGAAGGGGCTAGGAGGGGGAGGAGGAAGCGAAGGAGGAGGAGGAGGAGGAGGAAGAGGAGGAGGACGAGGAGGAGGAGGATAGGGACGAGCACGAGGACGAGGAGGAGGAGGCAACCCCATCATTCACCACTTGGAGGGGGAAGTTCGCGAGGGGCTGGAGCGTCCAAAATGGCCCAAGACGGCTCCAAGAGCGCCTCAGGAAGCCCGAGATGACCTCCGATATGGTTCAAGATGGCGCAGGATTCCTCAAGAGGGCCCCCAAGATGCTCCAAGAGGCCCCAAGAACGCTCCAACGGCTCCAGGTGGCCACGGAGCCTCCCCAGGAGGCCGCCAAGAGGCCAGCATCCGTCCAAGCCTAGTGAGAAAATATGACGACTGCCTTATCGCCTTTTTGCGTTCGATGGCCTCCTGGGGCCCCAACACAGCTCCAAGAGGGCCCCAGAGTGCTCCAATAGGGGCCCAAGAGAGCCCCAAGACGGCCTCAAGAGCGCCCCCACGGGTCCAAGAGGCGATTTTAGGCACATTCGAGGGGCAATGCTACTTGCGACCCGTCCGTTCTTTGATCGATGTCATCCAAGATGGTTCCAAGATTGTCCCCAAGGCTCCCAAAAACGCCCCGGAAGGGCCCCAAGAGGCGCCGAGGGGGCCCCCAAAGGCGCCCAATAACCTCCAAGAGGCTCCCAAGAGACCCCTGGGAGCCCCCAAGAGGCCCCCCGAGGTACGCAAGAGGCCGTGGGATCGCCAAGAGGTCCTCAAGACGGGCCAAGAGGCCCCCAAGCTCGTCATTGCCTTTCTCCTCCTCCTCCTCCTCCTCCTCTTCCTCCTCCTCTTCTCCTCCTCCTCCTCTTCCTCCTCCTCCTCCTCCTCCTCCTCCTCTTCTCCTCTTCTCCTCTTCTCCTCCTCATCCGCCTATGCTCCCCCTTCCTCCACCATCCTCCCCCTCCCCATCCCGTGCGGCGGCCGCGGCAGCCGCCGCGCTGGCAGGCAGGCCCGGAAGCGCCGCGACGGCGCCAGCGGCGCCATCGGCCCACTCGGTGCCAGCAGCGCCAGCGGCGCCCGCGGCAGCCGCGGTGCGGGGAGCGCAGGCGGCGCCAGCGGCGCCAGCGCCGGCACAGGGCGCCCGCGGCGGCGGCGCCATCGGCGGCGCACCAGCAGCCTGTTTCCGCGCCCCGGACAGCTTCTGACTCCGCCTGCGCCTTCGCTAGCGGACGCGACCGAAAAAGTATTCTCACCAGCGGGCCCGCGCCCCGGACTTACGACTCGCCGTGTGCGCTTTCGCCCGCGGCTGCGCCCAAAAAACGCATTCTCACCAGCCAACCTCTAGCGCCTGGATGCGACAAGGTCAAATTCGCTCATCCTGGTGGTCTCGTCTCTGGGATGCCCGCACGCCTGCACAGCCTCATGGTGGCCTCGGCAGCCCTTGCAGCCTCCGCCCTCGGCGCAGCCCCGCTTCTGCTCTCGGCGCAGCCCAGCTTCCCCCGGCGGTAGGCTCTGCTGTTGCCTGCGCGCGCGCCAGGCAAGTAGTTCTGCTCGTAGCCCGAGCCGACCCGTGACGCCGCCGGCGCCTTCGCTTGCGGCTGCGACAAAAAAGGTCACCAGCCTCTGGCTCAAGCCGTTTCCCGAGTGTTCCTCCCTCCAGGGTCAGGGCTCGAGCAGCCCCCCGCCAGGTGCGGGCCCGCGCGGCGCCGATGCTGCCGCGGCGCGACGCTGGCGGCAGTGGGTGGCAGCCTGGGCGGCTCGCGTCGCTGGCGCCGCTGGCGCCGCTGGCGCCGCTGGCGCCGCCGGCGCCGCTGGCGCCGCGGCTGCCGCGAGCGCCGCTGGCGCCGCCGCCGAACTAGCTTCTGGGCGCGCAGCAGGCCGGCCGGGCCAGCTCACGAAGCAGCTGCTGTGCCGCGCGGTGAGGCTGACAGGCTGAGGGCACCCAGGGAGGCTCGGGCAACGTGCAGTCTGACAAAATGCCAGAAAATTCTGTGTACGCCATGCGGCGTGAACCACTCAAAGAACGCGAGGACGTACGCGTAGATGCCTACACGCCTCGCATGCCTGGAGGTCGCACAGGCGAGGTGAACGATGAACGAGTCGCAAGCGGGGCGCCAAGTCTGGTGAGAATGCGCGAAGCGTCAAGAATTTGAAACAAATGTGCCGCCCCTGGGCCAGCGGGCCCGGTCGCTGGATGTATCGTACACTGCGCTCCTCTTTTCTCTTCCATATGCTCTTTTCCTCCCGCTGCCCTCCTCGGTGCCCCTCTCCTCTCTGAGCTCCTATACGTTTCTTTCCTCCTATATTCTAATATCCCCCATCCTCCTCCCTCCTCCCCCTGCCCCCCATCAAACCTACACATGTTGCTACTCCTGCTGCTCAGCATCCTTCCCGTCCCCCTGGGATGCATTCCACCATCATGTTTACTGGCAGACGCACGCTTCAGCAACCGTATGAGCAGGAACACTCGCACAAATATGCGCACACACGCTACCAGCAACACGAACAACAGCACACGCACGCGCTTCTGCACAACCTCACGGCTGATAATAAGCACAAGTTTACGTACGCGCGCACACACAAGCACACACGCACACCTCCACACACCTCCACACACGCACGCACGCACGCACGCACGCACGCACGCACGCACGCACGCACGCACGCACACACACACACAAGCAACAGCTGGCGAGTGACAAAGGCAAACGTAATATTGAGGATGCAAAAGCGTAAGCATGGACACACGCACACGCATACACATTAGCACAACACCATCTAGATAACTCTCGCACGGGATACTCGGCCCCACCGGGACAGGGTCGGGTCCTCCGCACCCCAGTCAATGTGGAATCAATTGCAATGGATATGCTTCTAACGTCCACGAGAATTCCCCTGGATTTCTTGACACGGCCACTCTGGGCAGGGGTAGGGGGGCGCAGGTGGACGAAATGAGGGTAGATCAGGGAGTAAGCAAGGAAGGAGTCTTGGACGTCAGTCAGGACAGCTGCCTACGATGAACCAGAGGCGTTCAGTTTGTGAAGCCTGCAAGTGCACAAAAAGGCGCGGCCGCGAACACACGGCAAACGCTCTGCCGCAATTGAAGTCAGCCATGCAAAACGACCAGGGTTCAGGTCGACTGGTAGGCACGCCTCACGGCCGGCGACATGCACTTTCTCGATAACTATATTGAGAGAACTCAGCACCCGCAGCGCAAAACATACTGGATAGCTTCGAAAATGAGGTGGCGCCCCGGGCCCTGAGATGTTCACAGGACCTGGTTTATTCGCCCCCCATCGGGGCTAGGAACGTTTAATGTAATGGTGCGCGAATGCGCGCACAAGTGTACTTGGGTCGAAATGAGACAACAATCGCTTGTGAACAGGTGGGCAGGCGTGGAGATGATACATTGAAAGACATAAGCATGCCCAGCACAGTAAAGTGGTCCACCTGAAGCGAATAAACGTCCCGTGCTTAGCAGCACGGGCGTCTCAAAAAGGCAACGGGGGGGAATGCGATTCGCTGGCGGCGGCCTTGAGGGGTAACGCTAGGGGACTGGCTCAGGGGGAGAAGCATTAAGCTGGATTCGGTGATACACCGCCAGAGAGCAGATCCATACGTTCCTGGGCGGGGTGGGCTAATCATCGGGCCCCTATCGGCGATGAATGGGCGCTTGGGAATCGATGCGTCTTCCCTGAGCCCATTCCACCCCTGACGTTGCCCCTGAGACCTGGTAAACACGTACAATCGGGGCGTTGACCTAAGAAACCCCAGATACGGAATGAGGCCCCTTTTCTCCAGAAGCTAAACTTCGATTTCCCATCAGAAACCGGAGGACAACCTAAGGCAAGCTGTGAAACAATGGAGGAACACGGAGCCCATCCCTAACGAAAAAGATTCCTTCTTCAACGCCCCGACTGTATCCTGGCCTCGCCGCCGCGGTGTTCCGCCACAAAGCCGCTCGGGCCAGTGGCCCCGCGGACCTGCCAGCGAGAGACCAGAGCTCCCTGACGTGCCGCGCGGTCGAATGCTTGCAGGGCGCTGCAGCCCGCCGGCCCCGCGGGCCAGAGGCAGGCAAGGCAGTGCTCGCAGGCACTCGGCGGGCCGCTCGGACGAGCACCACCCACACTTCTTTGCCCGCTCGCACCTGTCACGCTGCGCCGCCCTCCCTGGCCGCCCCCGGCCTTGGCAGCTCCCCTCGCGCGGTTCCCGCCTGGGGCCTGCGGAGCCGCCGCGCCGCGCGCCTAGAGACCGCAAGCCTGAGCGCGCTGCACGCCCGCACTCTCTCCTCTGCGCCAGCCCTCCGCCTCCTGCAGCCCGCACTCTCCCCTCTGCGGCCCCCCTCTGCGCTCTCTCGGTGTGCTCCTTCGCCGGCTGGCGCCCCACGCCGGCGCTTCGCGAGCGAAAAACAATTAGCCTGGGGAAGAACCCAATCCCCCACTTAAGCATGAGGCGGCTACAAGCAGGACCGCTTAATACACGAGAATCCATGGAGGAAGCTGCAGTAAGCCTGAACGATTCGCCATGGACCTGACAATGGTGCCCCAGAGCGTGAGGGGTGTGCCGAAATGGTCGGGGGGCGGTATGCGAACGCTGCCACTGCCACTCGGGCCTTTGGTGGAGCTCCCTGGGGGCCACGAAACGTGTGAGGGGTGTGCCGCAATGGACGGAGGGCGGTATGCGAACGCTGCCGCTAGGGCCTTTCGGTGGAGCTCCCTAAGGGCCACGAAACGTGTGGGGGGTGTGCCGAAATGGACGGGGGGCGGCATGCGAACGCTGCCACTGCGGCCTTCGGTGGAGCTCCCCACAGACAGGTGCAAACTGTTAAGCTCGGGTTGATTTCCGGGGAGGGGGGGGGAGCATTGTGATGACGACGGCGTCGCGAGGCCGCGGGCGCTCGCGGGACGCCCGTGGCCGCGCGCGGGCCGCGACCCCGTCATGCTCACTCAGGGCCCAGCGGCCCTCTTACAATACTAGCCAAAAGGGACCCCCCTCGTTGCGGGGCGGGGGGGGGCGGGCGCGTATGGGCCGTGGCCCCCTTTTTCAAGTAGTCTTATATCAGGAGGAGGGCCGACGAGTCCGCGGTTTTAGAAGGTCTGGTGCCGCTGTGCGATGGATCCGACTTGGATCCTCGATGGATCCGACATTGCAAATTTCACGAAACCATAGGTTCCACAGGGATCCTGCTTGGATCCACGATGGTTCCGAGCTTGTACATTTCACAAGGCCATATGTGTTCATATGGATCCTGCCTGAACGCACTGTGGGTCCACGATGGCTTCCATGTTGGGATCTGACCACAACCATATGTTGCATTGTGGATACTGCTTGCACCCACGATGGATCCGACGTGGCGGATTTCGCGCATCCATATGTTTCCCTTGGGATCCTGCTTGGATCCATTGTGGTTCCGAACTTGCACACGCGAGGCCACATGCCATATGATTTCATAGGGATACTGTCTGGATGAACTATGGATCCACCGACGGTGACCAAGTTGGGATCTTAGCAAAACATCGAATCTCCCCCTTCGCACCTGGGCCCCATGTCTGCGCGGGCGCACCAGGAAGCAGCCCCTGCCTTGCGACACGACGGCGCAGGCTGCGTCGAGAGAGTCGTGGGTTGTTGGCAGGGAGGGGGGTCTGCGCGGCGGCGAGAAGGCGCGGGCGCGGGCGATCCGCGAGTTGTGGCGCCGGGAAGGGAGGAGTGCCTACGGCGCGATGTCCTCCGTGGCCAGCGGCGTGAGGAAGACGAAGGGCAGAGCGCTCGCCCGCAGTCAATGGGCCGCTTCTTCGAAAAGGTGGGCGCCGACCCCCACAAGCACCCGGGGAATAGGGGAACAAAAAGTGGCATAAACATAACAAGTCGGAGGTCCGCGCGGATTTCTCGGATCGGCGCTGGACCCCCCTCCCTGGCGCGCGGAGCGCGCCAGGGGCGGCGCCAGAGGCGCCGCCTGGGGGGCCCCAGCGCCGATCCGAGAAGTCCGCGCGGACCTCTGAGTTTTTATGTTTATGTCACTTTTTGTTCCCCTACGTGGACACGAAGGCAATCTGCGCTGTCTTCTGGGAATCCTGCTTTTAGACGAGCGCGCTCCAGGACTCGCAGAGGAACTACTCGCAAATGGTCCAGGTCCGCCGAGGGGAATCTGCGATACATCGCGTCGAGGCAGGCGCTTGATTTTACAACCTTTTGCGAGTAGGCACTTTGCGAGTAGTGGAACGCGCTCGGCGAGCTTTGATGAGGGGGCCGACGAGCCATGGGATAACCGGCCGCGTCGGTGCCGGAACGCGCTGGACGATGCGCCGACAGAGCGGCGGTGGGCTTTCGCGAAGCACATGTTGGCGCTGTCTCACAAGCCGCAGTGGCACTACGGCAATCTGGTTTGGCGCGATCTCTGCAACTCTGTCCTCCCGCAGACTCAGAAGCAGGCGCAAGACATAGCGCTTGCGCGAAAAGGGACAAAGGGATGGATGAGCAATGGCTCGCAGGAGCAGTCGCAGAACCTCCGCGGCCCAAAGCACCACTTGATGCTGAATATTTCAAACACGGTGCGGGCATGGTGGGCCCCTGTCCTCGCGCGCGGGAAGCTGCACATCGAGCCGCTGCCGGACGATTTCCTTGGGGAGACCTTGGCGGGGTCCGCGATCTCGCCGAATGTCCACTTCCCTGGAGGCAGCAGGCAGCTGCGCGTGCTCTTCACGCACCGCGGGAATGGCTTCTACAACGCAGGTTCTGGGGCCCTCACTGAGGAGTACCCCGGGTCGCTGAGGTGCCACGACCTCAAGGCTTTCTTCCCCCTGGACGCCTCGGTGCATCCTTGCCAGCTGCAAGAACTCATGGTGCACGAGACTGCGGTCTCGTTGATGCGCGACAAGCTCACTAAGACGCTCCTGAAGAACTGTGCGCAAGAGACAGTAGAGGCGTACCGGGCCCGCCTGAAGGCCTGCGCGGCGCAGATCAAAGGCGCACACGACGTCGAGGGCCTTCGCCGCGAACTGCCGTGGAGGCTGGGGGAGCTCAGCCGCCGCAAAAGAGACCGCCTCGAAACGTGATGCGGTTCCAGAATTGCTTCAGTTGGGCTGTCTGGAATGAAAACCACAATCGAACCTAACTTTCGCACCCGTCTCTAGGGGCCACGAAACGTGTGAGGGGTGTGCCGGAATGGTCGCGGGGCGGAATGCGAACGCTGCCACTGGGGCCTTCCGTGGAGCTCCCTAGGGACCACGACAAGTGTGAGGGGCTGTGCCGAAATGGTCGGGGGGCGGTATGCGAACGCTGCCACTAGGGCCTCCGCTGGAGCTCCCTGGGGGCTACGAAACGGGTGTGGGGGCTGTGCCGACATGGTCCGGGGGCGGTATTCGAGCGCAGCCACTGGGACCTTCGGTGGAGCTCTCTAGGGACCACGAAACGTGTGAGGGGTGTGCCGACATGGCGGGGGGGCGGTATGCGAACGCTGCCACTGGGACCTTTGGTTGAGCTCCCTCTGGGGCCACGAAGCGTGTGAGGGGTGTGCCGTCATGGTCGGGGGCGGTATGCGAACGCTGCCACTGTGGCCTCCCCGGTGAAGTTCCCTAGGGGCCACGGAACGTGTGAGGGGTGTGCCGCAGTGGTCGGAGGGCGGTATGCGAACGCTGCCACTGGGGCCTTTCGGTGGAGCTCCCTAGGAGCCACGAAACGTGTGGGGGCTGTGCCGACATGGTCGGGGGACGGACGGTATGCGAACGTTGCCACTGTGGCCTCCCTGGTGAAGCTCCCTAGGGACCACGAAACGTGGGATGGGTGTGCTGAAATGGTTGGGGGCAATATGCGAACGCTGCCACTGGGGCCACGAAGCGTGTGAGGAGTGTGACGAACGGGTCCTTATTGAATGTAACTGATACCACGATGATGATGCTGACGAGGAGGAGGAGGAGGAGGAGGAGGAGGAGGAGGAGGAGGAGAAGGAGAGGAGGAGAAGGAACCACGCGGCGCTGCGAATTCAAAACGAAGCCCCAACTCCACAGGAGGCATGCTGTGTGTGCACGGGTGCGCGCGCGAGGCTGCTCCCAACCGCCGCCGTCGCTCAGAACCGCCGCCTCTCCCGCGGGCGCGCAGGAGACCGGGGGCGGACTTGGAGCCAGAGCGGGGCAGGAGCGGCCCCAGGAGCGGGGGCCCGGTGGGAGGACCCCCCCTCTGGTCCGAGGACTTGCACGTTCGCCTCCGGACCATTGACTCTCTTGACAGCCGTGTTAACGAGCAAAGTTGGCAGGCCCCACGAGGAAGTTGCCGTTGGCATGGCGCGTGTTTCCGAGCACGTGTTCGGCAGCATGACAGCAGCCCAACTCGAGGCGCGGCTTTCTCGATCTGATTTCGAACAGACTGCACGCAATCTTCTGCAGGTTCAGGCGCGATCTTCCTTGCATATGCCTAGCTCTTAGTCCACGCACCGCGCTGTGCTTGACGTACTAGTGGCGCCGAGAGGGTGCAGAGACGCCGCCAGATGCTCCGAGTTGGGCCGTCATGCTTGCCCCTACGCGCTGCCGAGTGCGGACGATAGAGGACATGTCCGCTCCGAGGCTTCGCAGAGGCACCAAGCAGAATGCCCCCAAGAAGCCCACGAGAGCCAAGACATCCCGAGACGCTTCCCGGTTGCTCCCAAAATGCGAGAACGGTGCCCGTGCACCGCACCGTGTGTGGACCTCCTTCAGGCGCCGCTCCAACGCGGTACGGTGCACAATTTTCTGGCTCCACGGGCCGAACAACTACGCGCGGTACCAGTCCAAGGTCGAGGATTGACGACGCCTCGGGAGACGCCGATGCGGCACGGTGCATATATACAAATCGTCGGCGGACAGTGGCCCCCCAAACGACCGGGGAGACTCCCAAGAGGCCCCACATGGCAAGCACTTGCTCCGTGGATGAGTGGAGGAATAATGCAGCACACAACCGAACACCTTGCCCACGATCCTTCCAGCGACTAGGTACGGCAGGTTCGTGTCGTGCCGACCCCAGCGTTGGTTTTTGACACCGCAGGGATCATTCAACCTTGAACGATCGGCCGCTGCCGCAACGTCCGATCGTTCAACATCGATCGATTCTGGGTCGCCGGCGGCGTTCAACCTTGAACGCCCGCGCTGGGGTCGCCGCTGGTCGACACGACGCAAACCTACCGTATGTCTGCCGACACTGGCATCGCATGGCAGCTGGGCAGGGCTGCCACCACCCAAGGCCTCCCGCGTGTCAACAAAGAGCCCAACAGGCGTGCAGAGTGCCACAGGATGGGGCCGGCGGAGTGCGCGGAGCGGCTCCGCCGCTCTGCCTGGGGGTGGCGTGTGAGGGGTCC